ACACTCACATCCATGCACACACCCACACTCTTATGTTCTAACAAATTACTGCAGTGATCGTGGAGTGCCATCTTGTAGAAATTCTTTTTTGTAAAAGAAATATATTTTTAATGGTACCATTTTCAATTGGGCAGGATCGGATCATCCAAAAAGTGATCCGATTTCGACGCCTGTTCCGTACTTTACTTAACTATCGGGTAAGAGATAATCCAAGTTTTGTTTTGTCGCATCACGACTAATTATAGTAGCACAATATAAAGTGATCGGTCGATAGCTAATCGTTGAAAAAAAAATCCAATATAAGTCACAATCGTTTAATTTCTATTCTTGAAATTTAATCTATTTGATGGCTTAAATCAACGAGAAAAGAAATCAATTGATAGAAAGTTTATCAATTCAACAAGTATTAAACGAAGATCATTAAAATCAGTGAAATCAGACGAACCGTATACACTTAAAAGAGAATACCTTTATCAATATTATTTATCCTAATGCAGCATTTCCTGATGGTAACGTTACAAAAAATATCAAGAAATAATTTGCGATTAGAAAAATGCTGTCTACTTTTTTTGTTGCATTTAGTGTTCCCTTGAAGTAGATATTTGTTTTTTCTTTATTAGAAAATAGCGGTACTCCGTTCTCGTTGTTGCATTCATCTACAAATTATTGAGTATTGTAATCACCTCAGTTCTTGTTAAGAGAGTACATTATTAGTAAAAATATTTAAATAACTTTATCAAATTTATTTATTCATTCTTTTTCTTCATATTTTTATCTTCATCATGTAAAAAAATCACGTTTAAATCTATTTAAGAACACAATGATAAAAATGACTCACAGTGAGTGTGAAAGTAGAATGATTTTTTTTATCGTATATATTTTACATGTTACTATACGTTCGATTCATAACTGAGCAACTCAATTCAAAAGCCAGGCAATTCAATACATGATTCGAATTGAATTGAGTCAAATTGAAAAAAAACTTCCTAACTCATGAGTTGAGATGAATAGAATCGAAAAAATTTTCAAAGATCTGTGAATTCAGTTTCTTTCAGGTTAAATCAAAAACCTTGAACAAATATACTCGTTTGAAAACACTTGTATGATTTTGTCTTCGTAATAATTTCGACATGTTTTAATGAGTTTATTTTCAAAAATATCTGCTTGCTTTATCGTAGTTGACGTACGGAAAATTACTCAATTTCTTTTATGAAATCTGAAAATTCATCAATAGAAAACGGATATTCAGCATCAGAAGGAAGTTTTCATTCCTTTTCATGTCTATCCAAATAGCTTAAGCAACTCATGTGTAAATTTAGTTTGAAAATTAGAATGCCAGGATTTCATCTTCTCGAGAAAGTTTACAAGAGAGTTATAATCTGGTTGAACATGGAGTTCGATAATCAATAAATTTTCTTCATGTTCATGGCTTCTAAATCAAAAATACAATTATGGTATTTGGTTCATGAAAATGTTCACTTCTTCATCGTCATGTAATTTCTTTTAATTTTCTACGTTGATAAGGTGGTTAATTTTCATTCACTCTCTGTTAGACATTAGCGTAAGCACGGTCGTTTGTTCAACAAACGCAGACTACGTACATGAAATCGTATGAAATTTGATCATTATCGCAAACATAGTCACATATCATATTATATCTTATAAACATAATTTTATTGAACTGGCCTATTGATAATTGGAATGAAAATGAATTGGAATGATTGAACATGGTAAAAAGAAAAAGACCTATTCCATTCATTTCATTTCTGATTTTAATGAAGTTAAACAATTTTTTTTTTGACTTGTTTGTTTTATATGGAGCTCTATATTCCAATTACACATTATACATTCTGTACTATTTATATAGATCAGGTGACAGACAAAGTAATTCAATCACAAATTTTAGAGGAAGATTATGTAACTAGCGAATAAGTATCGATATCTACTCAAAATAAGAATTGTATTTTGACTTTTACGAAAACAATCATATGTTAATAGATATTTTTTATAAATCTATGACTCTCTTTAATGAGAAGAGTTTAGACTCAGTGTCGTCTCTCATTAGAATCATTGGACGTCGAGTTTGAAATACATCTATATCACTGGTTTTGGGGAACTTACATATTTTTTAAGAAAATAGTGAGTGTAAGTTTTAAGTCGAATTTTTGCGGCTTCCCTTCCCTCCCTCCACCGTCATCTCCATTACAGACAACTTCTCATTACGGATCTTAGCAATTGAGGATACCAGACGTCAGACTTTCTATAGTTTTTTTGCAAAGTTGATGAAATTATAATTTTGAAAGATAATCAACATCATTGTTTCTGAGTTACTTAACATATATATATAATAGTGCATAAGATCTGCTATAGATATAATGGATATGTAAAATAGATGTATTTACCAATTAATTCAATGATTCTAATAATAAGAATGTTAAATTAAGAAAAACGAATTTAAAAAATGAATAATAAGAAGCGAATAGTAGCAAAGCAAAATAAAAAATAGGGTGCCCGTAGAAAAAGAAAATTTCTGTTCGAAATGCAGAAATTAGAAACACTCTTACTCTGATGTTCGATTATCCTACAAAATAACTATAGTCTACAAAAGACTTTTCACTTTACATATTTTATATTAGTTTAATGAGGCTAGAGAATATATGTGAGTTTCACATTTCAGTCCCAAAGGGGCTACGCTAACAAGCTTCCTATATTATCAATATCAGTATAGAAAACTAAGAATAAAAATATATGTGTAAGCATATAAGTTCAAATAAATCAAATATTATATCGTTTTCTATATTATATATATAGAAAAATAAGGAATACAAAAATATATGTTCCAGCGTATAGTAGAGGATTATAGAAAAAAATTTAATTTTTCATCTTGTGATAGTTTTAGAAAAATTTGGACATCGATATTTTTTCTGTCGAAATATTTTGTAAAGAAAAACGTTCTCTATTATGTGAAAATTTCCAAGATACAACTGTACCTTGACTAATCTATTATACAAAGCATTTGTGAAGTCAAAAATGATTTTACGATTACAATAATAGAAAACATTGACTTTCATAACACAACATTGTGTATTTTGTACATTTCTCCATAATAGAAACTATTGAATCAACAATTCTCAAATAAGTAAAAGAACATGATAGATCACACAGAATCAAATAAGAGCAGACAGGATTTGGATTATGTAATGCTATAACTTTCTTTTGTTTATGAATTCTATTTAGTCAGATAAAATCAGATCAGAGTACTTTACTCTGTTCTTATATATTTCTTAATCTCAGAATCTAATAAGATGTCCAATGACATCTTTTATTCTGAATCTGACAAAATCTTTAAAAAATGCATCTATTTTCACTGTGTCTTTTTTCTTTCCCGTCTACTTTACATCTCATGCATATCCCTTCTCTCTTGCATTCTTTTTGTGCATGGCATCGCATCTAGTCTATTTTCAATATTCTTGTTCAGAATCTTCGAGAAGATTATCATTATCCTGAGACTTCTATTATATATATCCGCCCTTGTGCCTATGATATTCATTATGTTCAGAAGAATTCAGTGAAAACCCTCCCAGGATCGGTTTCTGATGAGCACTTTGTTCAAGGAATTTTTTCTATTTACTGTTCTAAATAAAGGAAAACTATAATTCTAATAATTACTTTACAAGATTGAAGAGGAAAACAATCTAATTTGGGCAAGAATACCAGTTCAGCAATCAAAATCATAGAAATATGAATACATGTTATCATATTATCTCCAAAAATTAGCTTGGACATCCGAGAGTTAAATACACATAAGATTTCGAACATAATTAAATCTACGATTGATATAAATTAGTAGCATAGTAATTTATTTCTTTATAAACTTTCTCATAAAATTGAAAGATAGGCACCTCAATTCTGTCCTGTTCCTACTCCATTTTCACTCTGATGAGAAAAAGCATCAACTTTGGAGTTGAAATTCCCCATCTCTGATATCAACTATTTCAAAATATTTACTCTTCAGATCCACCTGAACATATCAATAACATGCGAGCTTACAGAAGACTTCTCAGAACAATTACTACATAAGGATTATAACATGATCCTCATAGAAGATACTCATTATTTTTAGATTTTCAGATTTTGACAGAGTATCTTATTTAGTCACCAAGATTCTGTTCTAGGACCCTTCTGCAATGGTTTGAAGATGGTGTTCATCAAAAGTTAAAAATAGCATTTTAGAACACTTTCTTTTCAAAGCCCATAAAATCCATAGATCCCAATGTTTGTCACTGGAGAGCTTCGTCCGGATTGACATCCATCTTTTCAACATTTGCAAAAGTAGAAGCCCTCTCAGAGTACATCACGGTTGTTCTTCGGACAGCTTGACATAACTTATCAAAAGCCTTATAAAATTTCACCGGCATTCTCTATGCAAATACTTAGGAGATTCTTCAGTAGATCTACATTCATCATACAGTAAATCATGTATCCTTAAGGTTTTCTAAAAAACATAAGGATTAGGTTTGATATTATGTTGTTCAGCGATTCGATATTCTTCTCACAAGATGCAGATAGAATCTTCTCTGATATTCATATAAATGATCATTCTGCCAAAAAGATTCTGAATTCTTGCAATTCTGAAAAAAATCCTCAGATCCTTATATTTTTCTCTCGAAAACTTACATGGAATTAGTATTACTCTTTCTTGGAGAACCTCCTTACAACAATCTCCAGGTGTTATTTTTATGATCAAAAAGATCTTGGCAACCACTAGAAGTAACCTAGATGTAAAAATCGTTACCAAATCCTTTTTTTCTCATAAGAAACTAGGAAAAGACTTCTGAATTTTTTTCTGTGGAATGAGCATTTTCAAAGATGCATGTCATATTTCTAGCGCTTGCTCTCACGAGAGACGAGATCCCTTCGACAACGACGATTTCTTTTCTTTTTCGTTCATTGTAGTAATTCTCAATATTCCAGCCGATGCCCGATGGGCCCAGAAGGGAATGACTGTTGCTGGAGGTCATGGAAAAGGCAGTGCCATCAATCAACTCTACTATCCTCAAGGTCTCTTCGTTGATGATGATCAAACGATGGTCATCGCTGACTACTCCAATCATCGTATCATCCAATGGAAGATGGGTGATACGAATGGACAAGTTGTAGCTGGTGGCAATGGTCAAGGAAATCGATTGGATCAATTGACTCGACCAACCGATGTGTTGATCAACAAAGAGACGGATAGTCTCATTATTTGCGATGATGGACGAGTCGTACGATGGTCTCGTCGTAGTGGAACAACTCAAGGAGAAATCCTCATTCCCAACATCGATCCTTATGGATTGGCCATGGATGATCAGAGATATCTATACATCTCTGACTACGACAAACATGAAGTAAGACGATATCAAATAGGAGACAAGAATGGAACTCTTGTGGCTGGTGGCAATAGCTATGGTGCTGGTCTCAATCAACTCAACTGGCCAACCTACATCTTTGTCGATCAACAACAGACTGTCTACGTGTCAGACTACAACAATAATCGTGTAATGAAATGGAATAAAGGTGCAAAAGAAGGAATTGTCGTCGCTGGAGGTCAAGGCAAAGGGAATGCTCTGACACAATTGTCGCATCCTTACGGGCTGTTCATCGATACATTGGGTACCATCTATGTGGCAGACGAGAAGAATCATCGAGTGATGCGGTGGCCTAAAGGAGCGAAACAGGGCACTGTCATTGTGGGTGGAAATGTTGAAGGAGAAGGAGCAAATCAGTTGAACTATCCCATGGGTTTGTCCTTCGATCGACATGGCAATCTCTATGTCGTCGATTGGGGGAATAGTCGTGTTCAACGCTTTTCAATCGAATAGAATCGTCGTGATAGATTTTTTTTTGCGTTTCTTTCGTTTCAAATAAATCGTATTGAATTGATGACATGAATGGCTTATTCTATTCGCACGCGCGACCAGGAACCATCCTGGTGGAGCCATGGCGAGCGTAACGCTCATGCACGCGCAGGACAGACTCATATCATTCATACCCTCCCCGCGAGAGATATGTCAATGAGTCTGAATAAGCCTGGTCGTGTGCCACGGACACCAAGACGATTCCTGGCCGAGCTTTTAGGGACTGCCCGGAAGTCCTGTAAATAAGAAGAACCTAACCTTAACGAACATAACTCACCCCTCCCCCACTAACACTCACTGTGCTGAGAGTCACTCTAACTCTACTTATTCTCACTGTCACTATATATTCTCAATTTTCCCTTGTGCCCTATTCTTATCTCAAAAAAAAAAGTTAAATAATTACTCACGTGCTCTGGTGTTGGAAGATGACGCGATGTAATGATATTGCTAACTAAACGAAAAGAAAAACGATTGAATGAATAATATCTATGAAAAAGAGATAGAGGAACTTACTCCATTGTTATCTCTTTTTTCACTATTCCATACCTAAAATAGAAAAAGATAAAAATAGTAATGAAAAAAATTGACTTACTTGAATTCATCTGAACGAATCTAAAACAAAAAAAAATAAATTTAAGATAAAGAAATCACTTACTAAGTTTGATATGTTCATATTGACCTAAAAGGATAGAAAAAAAAATAAATGAAAAAGATCAAAGGAGGCCTTACCCACCATCCTCATGATCGTAAAATAAAAAAGAAAAAGAAAACAAAAAAACTAAAACTGATACCTACATTTTTTTATTGTATTGTTCGATGTTGAATTGTTCCATTTTGTATCGTTAAATTGACCTAAAACATAAAAGAAAAGGATTAATGTATGATTCAATAAATTGAATGATTTTACATAGAAAATCATTCGTATATATACCCCCCAAAAATAATTTTTTTTTTCTCGTCGAAAAATAATTAGACGTCGAGTTTAATTAAGCTTTAATCTAGACACACACATACATTGAGATAAATTCAATCACAACTATCTCAATGTATGGGTCTAGATATAGCTCAATTGATATACACATTAATTGTACATGTGATCATTGATCATCAATGATCACATGAACAATGACTTATGGGCGAGAGAAGGAAAAAAGAAATATTTCTTTCTTGACCTATTTCTTTTTTCTTTTTCTCTCTCTCTCTCTCTCTCTCTCATATGGTCATTGTGTGTACAGAGTAGGCGAACACACACGCGCACTCACATGTAAGGCATGTTGTCATTTTCTCTGTTGTTTTTCTTTTAATACATTTCTTTTGAATTAAATGAGATTTATTTTTTATTTTTATTTCAAGCAAATATATATGCTGTCTCAGTGGTTTTGCTTGCTCAAAACACAGATTCCAATCATCACTTGAAGATTATTTGAGATATGAATGTATTAATGAGGAACAACAATAATATGTCATTAACCGAAACAAAAATTTTATTATCTCAACATCAATAACATCCTTCGATTGTGAACTCATTTGATGATTGTTTATTTTAATATTTAAAACAAAATGATGATATACTATTAGTTCTGAACTTATATTATCATGTGCAGAAAAAAAAGGTGTAAAATAAAAATTTTGTTCATTTTTTTTGTCTTAAATTAGAGTTGAGAATTAAATTTTTTAAGAGTATTTCTGTATCAAGAAGGAATCAACCTTCATACTATCAATATTTATGTTCAATCGTCATATGCTTAATTGAACAGTTTTTTTCCTTTTTATATAGACAGAATTCAATGACTTTTATCCATTATCTTGGTGCATCTGTTCGAAAAGATTAACATGAGAGTGTGGTGGGTGTAAGTGAGTGTGGGTGGATGTGGGGTGAGTGTCGGTGTGCGGTGTGACTATCTTTCATTTGAGTCCACACCCACACCCACATCCATAATTATGTTCATTATATCAGACGGCGATTTGGGTCTATAACTGCAAGAAATGTATTCTGGTATGCTAAAGTACAAATCAAACAAGAAAAAATAAAAAAAGACATAAAATTCTTGAAAATTTATAAACGTGAAGAACTGACCCCATCGTTTGTCAGAATAAAAACACCAACTACACACCAACATTACAAACGAGCAATCCACATATTTCGTATGCAATTACTTCCAGATGAAATTAAGGTAAAGAAAAGCGAACTAACAATAAACTACAAAACAAGCAAAAATGTTATGTCACTGTTGGAAAAAGATATCACAAGCCTCACATCAATCAAGATCAAAGCAGTCTGTAGACAACTGGTCAAACAAAAATCAATTAAATGGGAAGAAACCCACAAAAGAAAAATTGAAGATCTAAGGGGAACAAAAAACTCTCCATCACAACAAATAAACCAACAAACACAACGTCGATGTATCATAACAAATCTATCTCATCACCAACTCTCCATAGAAGAGAGATCAGTTTTAGAACATGGTCTTGATTTCGTACTTCCACTAACTGAATTTGACGACCGTACATTTATCTCAAATATTGAAAACTTCTTCGTGAACCTACTCGGCTATGCAACTGACAAGCATGACTACGATGAAAAAGATGAAGACGAAAATATCAAATACAACTTAACTCCCAACCAACTGGAATATGCAAACAAGATACGATCTACGTGTAACAATTTTAGATGAACAGTAATGAAGAACATAAAGAACCAACAACAATAGATACATAAAACCAAGCAAATACTAAAAAAATTAGCACAAGATAAAACAATAGTGGTAACCTGTCCTGACAAAGGACGGAGTGTAGTCATCCTAAACAGACATGATTACATAACGAAATTACACAATATCCTATCGGATACCACTACATTTGAAGAAATACCACAAGATCAAACAATAAAAAATGAAGATCAACTCAATACCAAATTATTAGAATTAAAAAATGAAGGATACATCACACCAGAAGAATACAATTATGCAAGATCTAGAGGAGCTCAACCGGCTCGCCTATACGGCTTGCCAAAAATTCACAAAAAAAGGTAGACAATGATGGCATCATTCCTATTCGCGCAATTGTGTCCTCCTCAAAAAACTTCAATTACAAACTGGCCAAACGTTTATCCAACAAACTGAAACACATTCGTCAAAACCAAAACACTGTAAAAGATATATTCTCATTTGTAGAATGGCTACACAAATTAGAAATCGACCAACAAAATTACAAAATGCTGTCATTCGACATCACTTCGCTGTTCACAAAAGTACCTATAAATCGATCCATTGAACTAATACTTGAAAAACTATACGGCAAAAAACATACGTGTACCTTGAGTAATGAACCAAAAGAAACATGGTGCTCCCACTGCAAGCAATGGCATCACATGAAACAATTACTTGAAATGGCCACCAAACAATTACAATTCCTGTTCAATGGTAAAACATACCGACAACGCAATGAAATTGCTATGGGTAGCCCACTAGGACCACTCTTTGCTGATGTGTACGTCGAATACCTTGACACCAAATACATGAAATGTATTCAAAAAAATGAAGTGCTGCACTATAAACGGTTTGCCGACGACACCTTCACATTGGTACACAAAAACACGAATAAGGAGAATATCTTGGATATACTAAACAGCTATGACAACGAAATCCAATTCACATGCGAGGAAGAACAACAAGAATCTATATCATTCCTCAACGTCAAAATCGAACGTAGTCACAGCAAACAAAAACTTTTCATCACAAGCGTATACCAAAAAGGTACCTTCACAGGTCTGTTACTCAACTGGTACTCATACGTACCAAAAAGCTACAAAGTGCACTGAGTTCAATGGTATACAGGGGCATAACGATTTGCTCAACATTCCATTTAACGAACGAAGAATTCGATTGTATACGCAAACTGGCATCTCAAAACGGTTACCCAACAAATTTTACTGAATCTATAATCAGAACAACACTCAACAGGTATTATAAACAAAAAAAAACAACAAAGTCAAACCACCTACAAACAATACAACAATCATGAAACAAACAGAACAAATACACATTGACCTTCCATACTTCAACAAAACAACTGAACAACTAGGTAAGAAACTAATAAAAATGGTATCTTCAATCCGATCCCAACTGCACGTCCAACCCATACCAAGAGCACCTCCAGCAGTCTCAACATTCTTCAAGGTAAAAGACAAAATACCAATACAATTACAATCAAGTGTGGTGTACAAAATAACATGCCTCGAATGTTCAGCCTCCTACATAGGAAAAACCTTACGCCAAGTAGAACGACGTACCCATGAACATGGCAAGCAATTCGTAACAGAAAATGACACCAACACACACCAACCAACAACAACAAACTCCTAACAAATATCAACTCGACCAAAACGTATGACAAAACCTATCGAACGGTATGGAATAGACTCACAATCACACCACCAAGATAAACTAAAATAATATTCAAATAGTCATTGCAAAACAAAAAAATCAGCTCTTGAAAAACATATCAACGAACAACAACACCAAATCAACTGGGAAGAAATCGAAATACTCGATAAAGATACAAATGACTACCGCCTCAAAATACGTGAATCTATTGCAATTAAACAACATAACCTAACTCTCAACCGAACTGTAAACTCAGTTCCTCTACTAATATTCTCGAAAGAGATACCAACAAACAGAACCAAAAGAAAAGTATAAGAATAACAAATCTTAATCCTACAGTGACTATCTGACACACCTGCCAGGGCAGCCTTGAGATAAATAAAAGCGCTTTTATTTATCTCTCTCTTTAATAGTGGTGTTCGTAACTGAATCTCATTCGTTACGGACGAACAATAGAACACTCTTTGTCTCAACATAATATATATATTGTCTAACTTATCCTTAATCGTTGTAGTTTACACTTTTATACATATCTTGATAATGAAGATTTAGGTCTTCGAAACGTCGATACATATACAT